TTATCTTATATTTCATATGTATTTTTAACAATTATTTTCCTTATAAATTTAAGATAATATATCGTTCATTTTTGTATTATAACACAAACAATTTTTCCATTTTTATTCATTTTACAATTGAAAATATATATCATAAATTTAAACTGTAAATGTAGTTTTTTGTATTTCACTGTATTCACTGTATTCATGTACATCAAAAAATGAAAAATCTGTTCAGACTTTTAATAATTTTTTATGGAAACGATTATTACAAAATGATTATTTAGAAAATTTAATGCAATATTGCATTATTATCATTGAAATCAGCATCTTATATAATGTACAACAAATTTTTAATTGTCAAATTTTATAAATATATCATCATTATGCATTTTCGTTCAACAATATAATACAATATCTTATATCTTATATATTTTTATCTGTATAACTATTATTCTAAAATTCTAAGAATTTCGTTTATTTCAAGTTCTATTAATTTTAAAAAAGAGAAAAATATGAAATGAAAGTTAATAAAATAATATTTAATGATTTAAATATTATTTGTAAAATTAAAAAAATTATTTGTAAAAAAAATATTATTTGTAAAATCGAATAAATTGATTAATTTTTCTTTTTCATCATCGATCAAACGACAAACTTAATTACATGTAACGTCAATACGAGACAAGCATCTTTATATTCACACGTGCACATTTTAATTGTGTCCATTCGAAAAGACTTCATCATTATATATATATATATATATATAAAGTAAGTAAATACCATAGCAAAGACAACTCAAGCGTCAACAGCGTCACTCAATCTTGGACCGCTTTAACAGAAGGTCGATTTATTCTTTGGGTACGAATAACGGATAATTCACGTTTGAGCGTTCAACATTTACATTTTTAAGATTTACCTTGTGATCGTCTATTAAGATATCAAATAAAATAAAGGTAAGAAAGTGCGATATTTTTATTTAATATAATATAAATAATATAATAAAGTTATAAATATTTTAATTTTTTTTAACAATAAACATAAATGTTATATATATATCGGTATTTTTTATAATCTTATATATTCTATTTTTAATAAGAAATTCAAAATATTAATTGATCCTTTTAGCAGATTGTTTTTCTTTTTATAAAATTATAGTTAGATTGTAAATTATTAAAATCTTTAATTCTTATATAGAAAAATTTAGTAAATTTAATTTTTGATAATCAAAAAATTATGATATTTTCTTAATAATTTTACTTTTAATCAATTGATCAATTTATATTTATGATCGAATAAATGTTTTGAAGCTAAACAATCGTATAACGTAATCGTAATAATATAATCGTAATCGATATAAAAAAATAATTTAGACAAACATGTTATAAAAATATACATTTTTTTATTATCATATTTTAATTATCAAATTTATATAAATCTCTTTTAATTTTATTTAACATGTGTATCTTTTTATATTTATGATATTTGCGTTCTATGACATTGTAATAAAAAGAACTTTTATTTAATCATGATGTATCGAAATATCTAAATTATTCTTTTATATCGTTATACAATTGTTTAGCTTCAAAATATCTATTCGATTCTATAAATTGATCAATTGATTAAAAAGTGAGTAGTTCGCGCTTTGTAAGTATAGAGAAAAAGATAATTTAAAATCTCTATTCCGTCTGTATCTATCTACCTATTACGTTTACAATCTGTAATAAAGACATGATAGAATAATTGCGGATTATTTAGCCATATTTTCTTGCCTATTGTATTGTCGTTGCAATAAAACTTAAATTGAAGATGTTACGATGCAAACGAATATTAATTCAAAATAATATTTGAATAATTGACTCGAAAAGGAGCAAAAGCTAAAACGACGAAAGATAAAAATTTCATACTTACTTATTTCACGAAACATGTTTCGCTTTTGTCTATACATATATATATATATATATGTATAGTTTTACATCTATACAGAATCGCTTAATAACGATGCGTATCATTCTATTCTTTTCCGAAGAACAACATATTATTATTATTGGACTTACAACTTAATTGCCGTTATCTTTTTGTTCTGTTCGAGAATAATCAACAATCAAAAATTGATCGAATAAATATCGTAAATTTTCTTTTTTTGTAGATATGTGGCACTTTTTGTGGATCGTATTTCTTGCATTGGCAAATGGCGACGAAATTAAAACAATTTATTCATGGAACGTGATCGAATATAATTTTCCAAATGATAATATTCGAAATACGCTGATATCTAATGGTGACTATATCGAAGAGAATAATATGCCAAATGGTATGCAAATTTGGAATGATAAAATATTTATCACTATACCACGATGGAAGAATGGTGTCCCATCTAATCTAAATTTCTTTTTAAAAAATGATGAATCAGGTATTTATTAGCTAATTACTTACTTACTATAGGAATTTAAACTTTTTAAATTTAAAGTTGTATAATAAAATGATTTAACTTTATAACTATAATATCATAGAAATAAAAATAATATTAATTCTTTAATGATTAATGATTTTTCTGTATGTTTAAAGTTTGTTTAAAAAATTATATTAATTTTATAAATAAATACAATAAAATATTTTTTTATTAATTTATCTTTTATATAGAATCTCCAAAATTAAATCCTTATCCTAATTGGGAAATGAACGATATTAATAAAGTTGATAGTATAATAAATATAATCCGTGTTAGAGTTGATGCCTGTGATCGATTATGGGGTGTCGATACGGGTGTTGATGATATTTTGGGCAATAACACTGTTATACATCAACCGAGAATTATCATAATTGATTTAAAAACAGATAAGGTAGAATAATAAATTATTATCTATCGACAATATTTATTTAATCTATAATATTTTATACGATATATACATGTCTATGCATGTTACGTAACATTTATTTGATTTATTGATTTTTTTCAGATATTGAGAATTTATCCTTTAAAAAGTTCAGATCAAACATCCGATTCGTTTTTCGTTGATTTAGTAATCGATGTAGATCCAAATAATTGCGACAATTCGTATGCTTACATTTCTGATCTCAGTGGATATGCTTTAGTAGTTTATAGTTGGGCCAAGAACGATTCCTGGCGTATCACGCATAATTTCTTTTATTTCGATCCTCTCTACGGTGAAATATTATATTTAAATCAAAATCTTGATTATACGATATATTTATTAAAATTCTATATTTAAAAATTCTATTTTTCATTTTTAGGTAATTACAATATCAATGGATTCAACTTTCAATGGAAAGATGGTTTATTTGGATTATCTTTGTCCGCGTTGCAAACCGATGGTTACAAAATTTTATATTTCCATGCGATGTCTAGTATCGCTGAATTCTCAGTATCTACGGAAATTTTGCAGGATCACACATTAGAGAAATCTAGCGATTATTATGCTTTTCATTTCGAGGGTGAAAAAGGTCCAAATAGTCAGGGGCCCAGTTCTGTGATCGATACGAATACCGGTGTCGATTACTTTACTCAAATCAACAGAAATGGCATCGCTTGTTGGGATACCAGTATTGAATTGAATCCAAATACATTCAGTAAGTATTAATTATGGCTCTTTACGTCGGTAATTCCGATATTAATTCCGCGTTTCAATTTTACCCACGAAACCGATACCGAACCGAAATAATATTCATCGAAGCGTAAAAATGTCTGGCATGATAAATTTGTGGCTAATCTTAATTTAATGCCTACGTTTTTCGTTTTTTCAATTTCGTTTATATCTTTTAACTATCACAACTATGTCGAATCGAAAATGATAAATTTATGATAATATATAGAAATTATTACAAAAATTGATAGCGAAAATAAATTTATTATTTTTATATATGAATAATATGATACATAAATGAATATATGATAAATGATCAAGCTATTTTATTATATTCGTTGAATTTCTTTCTTCTATAAAAATTTAAATCATCTGATGTGAAAAATAATATCTTTAATCTAATTTACATTTCTTTTTTCCAGTTTTAGTAACTGAAGATAATACAACGATGGTCTTCTGCAACGATTTATCCATCGATCGGTCTACTAACACGATGTACGTGCTCTCTGATAATTTTCAGCAACTTATGTTCTCTAAATATGATGTGGAAAAACGTAATTTTTTCATCACAATGTTTGATCTCGATTTCTTAACGAATGCTTGTAAGAAAAAAGATGATAAACCTAAAAGACGGCTTCCTCATATTCTTTAATGAGTTCATGTCAATGTATAAATATATTTATATATTATAATATATATATATATATATATATATATATATATATGATATATTTATATACTCAAAAATTAATAAAAAAACTTTGTTCAGATTTTTGTTTGACAAATTATAAAAATATAGATTTATTAAAAAATATTTTTTTTTTCTTCTTCTTTTTAAGTACAATTCACGAAAGAAATTGTTTCGTTCATTTATTTATTCACAGTAATTATACAAAAAGAATATTTAGAACGATTACACGCAATATGTGAAGACCGCATAAAATATATGTTATAATTAACATTTTTTCTAATTGTGTTATAATTAATTTCCTATATTTCTATTCAATCCCATCAAAAATTTCTTTTTTTGATTTCATTTTTTTGATGTCGTTCTTATAATACGAGTAATTATATATTTACAAGATGTTCATTGAATTAATTATACATATAATATAATATGAATATTTACATTGAGAGATTTTAATAGAAGGAATTTTTTTTTAGATAGAAGGAATTTTTTTAAGGAAATTTAGGTATAGAAATAATAATTACATACACTCGTTAATGTTAATAATCGTTAAAAATAAAATTACAATGTTATTCGACATTGTATACACAAGCGCTATTGCATTTATAAAAAAAAAAAAAAAAAAATGGAGAAAAAATTATCTTTTATTACAAATAAAATAATTTTTTTGATATCGTCTATTTTGGTCCCAATTTTATGATTTATTATGCACATATTATAAAAAATGTAATAAAGTATGATGCATTTTTGAAAATATGTTGATCACAGGATAGTACATGTTTTTGACTGAAAATAAATTTTTCTTGTAAATTGATCGAGAATTTTAATTTTTTTCAAATTATAATTATATCATTGCGTATTATGTTATATTATCTGTTATATTATAAATACACATACTTTAGATTTTTGATTCACAGTACCAATTATTCTGCTACCATTTTCCATTGCTTGCGACTTTTTACTTTTAAATATCTTTCCCATTTTACCTGAAATAAAATAATATATATATATAAATATATATATATATATATAAAATATTTATGATCTTTATAACAAATTGCATATTTTTTTACTATTTTTTAAATAAATAAAAATCAAAAATTAAAAAAAAAATCTTTATATCTAAATATGATTTATATATAATATTATATATTATATATTATTATATATTATTTTATATTATTATAATATTATATATTATTATATATTATTTATATATAATATTATATATAATATGCTATAATATTGAAATTTGTATATCATCAGTCTATAATTTTGTCGAATTTTTGCAATTATTTATTCTTATTACCTATTCTCGATGATGGCGATTGTATAACATCAGCGTCATCTTGACCATTATCAATCTTCAATTTCTCCTCTTCGATAATCTTATCCTTCTCTTCGTTCTGTTTGTCAATTTTTATCATCTTCTCTGTATCAACTCTTAATCCTGAATTTGTATCTTTCATCGAACATTTTCCTCCTCTTTCCGATTTTCCTGGCTCATTTTCTTCTACCATTTCTAAGTTTTTATTTATACCCTTTTCCATATTTGTTTCATTTTCTATTTTATCGTCTTCATTTTTATTTTTCATTGACGACGATATTTCGATATAAGAATTTTCACTTTCAACTTTTAATCTTGATGGTTTTGCCGGTGACGTGAAATCCGATGAGATAGAAGATATTTGTTTCTCAGGACTCATCTCTTGTTTGCTATCATTCTCAATATACGATTCCATTTGCAATTTCATTGGTTCTGATTTGAAATCTTCACTATTAATTTGCATACTATCCGTTACATCTTTATTTTCATTATTAATTTCTTTATCGTACTCTATTTTTTTTGTCGCAACTTCATTTATATTCGTTTCATCATTCTTCTTTTTCTTATTTTCATCGCTATTCATCGATTGTGAATCATTTTTTTCATTGACGTTCTTCTCAATATCTATTCTTATTTCTGATTTTTTATCGTCGTCTTTTGATTCTTCATTTTCATTTTCTATTTCCAATTTTTTAGATTCTTCCAAGTCAATCGACAATTTTTCCGATATTATTTCAATTTTCTCTTCGTTTGATTCCCCTTCCGATATATCGTTAATAGATTTTTCAAGATTTTTGGAATTATTCTCAGGACTCTCTGATTTCTGAATATTGCTCGTCGAATGTATAACGTTATTTGTAATATCATTTTCGATATATTTTATATTTTCTTCAATTTTTTGCTGGGCCATTTCCATCGTTTCTTGTGAACTCATTACAGATTCCGTGACATTTTTTCTCAGATTTAATCGATCGTTAATTATTTCGTTAGTATGTTCATCACGAGTCTCATTTTGTAGTCTGTTTATTGGAACTTTTAATGGCGGTAATGCATTTCTTTTCTGAATATGTTCCTATATTCGAAACAAGAATGTATCGATTTGTTTTCGATAATTTGTAAAGAATGTGTATAATTAATATACACATATTAATATATATTTTCTTAACTTCTAAAATAAATTATTTTGGTGTTTTTTGCTTTTTTTTTACTGTATAATAAATTACTGTATAATAATTTTGAAGAGATCTTAAAAGACTGATCTATGATCTATATTATAAATTTAGTTTGTCGTTTATGAAATAATTAAAATAAATTGTAATTACCACTTGCGAGTTATCCATTTCTTTTTGGATACGATTTGTTTCACGTCTCTGACCAATTAAGATTGTATGACAACCACCGCATGAAATCTATATATAACATAAGTTTATGAAGTTTAAAATTTTTTAAAATTTACTTAATTATATGAATTATACAAGAGAGTAATTATGCGACACATAAATATATAAATAAAATTACGTTTGAAATGAATAGTTCTTTGTATCTTTGGACAAAAGTTAGTTCGTGGACGTTGTTTTCATTTTCTTCCAAACCTAATTTTCCATGTCTTCCGTCACCACATGTATAAAGTTTTCCAGATTCTGTTGCAGAAAAGATTAAAAAAAAAGGAAATATTCAATCGATAAAATTTGCGTTAAAATTTACCAGTAAGAATAGCAGTGTGACTTTCTCCGCATGAAATACGACTAATTTTTTCATTTTTTAACGCGCCTTGTGGAAAAAGTTTCGGTGTATGAAGTTCCGTTACATTTGTTCCTAAACCGAGTTGACCGCTCGAATTACTTCCGGTGCAATACAAATTATCATTTTCTGTCGGAATAAACATTTTTTTTTTAACACATAATATATTTATTTAACATCGAATGGATATTGTAATTTTAAATAATTTTAAAAGATTATACCTGTTAGAATGAGGGTATGATGACCACCACACGCTACATATATAACAGGGCTTGGTAATTGCATTTGTTTGGGCATAATTTGCGTAGAAAAATTGATATCAATTCCTAATTTCCCACTTTCCGATTCGCCGCATACGTAAACGAGACCATTTTCTATACAAATTTGAGACTTGATATTTGTTAACACAAAAAATTACCAATATTTAATATTTTATCGAAATCGATAATAAAATTATACATATATTTTTATTTATTTTCATCTAATACCATTCAATCTATCGATCTTGATACATTTATAAACAATATTTTTTTATACGGTATAAATTATTAATCGATAAAGTTTGGAAAAAAAGGATATAGTTTAAATTACTATATTTTTCTTAAAGAATCTTTTTCAACAACAATTACCTGTCAAAAATGTAGAATGATAGTAGCCCGTATTAATTTGTTTCACAGGTTCCGGAATATGTACTTTCGTCGGTTTGTTCACTAAGCCAGATATATCCGGAAGTCCTAGTTGACCTTCGAGATTGCTACCCCATGCGAAGACGTTACCATCACTCGTGAGTGCGAGCGAATGATGAGAACCCGCAACTATTTGAACAATCTTTGATCCAGTTGGCCCGGAATCGTATACCAATACGGGAGTGCTCGCGGAATCGCCTATCGCGGAAATTCCTCGACCGAGTTGTCCTTCCTGATCGCTGCCGCAGGCAAAAATTTTTTCCGCTACTGAAACATTATTATTACGTGCTCCTGTTTCGAATTTCATGCTAAAATAATTTCCACATATTTGATGATCATGATTAATCATAATTAAGATCTTTTTTTTCTTTTTCTAGACAAATAGATTTTTACAATTTAAAAGCAATTATTATTATGTCGAAAGAAAAGATCAAATAAGATATTAGATATAGATATCAATTCTAGAATTGAGAGAAAACATTAAAACAATTTTAATAATAGAGAATAAGATTAACACGTAAATCGTTAATTATAAATATGTATGAACAACAAACGAGTTTATAATATCATATTGAACAACAAATAGACATTTTTTGAATGAAAAATGCGATCTATGCATGTTTTATTATTACTAAAAATATAATTTACTAAATTAATAAAATAATTGTAAACGATGTTTTACCTGTGCAAATTAGCGTGTGTGCTCGTCCGCATGCGACATGTGTTACCTTCTCGGGTTTCAAAACTGTAAATTAATCAATTTTATAATATTATATATAATATATATATATATGATATTATATAATATATATATTATATTTTGATATTAAAATAGATATAAAATACAAACTTTTTACGCAAGATGGTTTGCTAATATGATTTTTATGACCCAAACCAAGTTGACCCCAATCATTACTTCCGAAAACGAAGAGTCTGCCGCTTTCTAAAAACAACGAAATCCAAACTTTTGATTTAACAAAGAATCAAAAGATATTATTGTATGCATTGTTACAGGTTGTGTAAATATTTTTACTATAATGATAAATATTAATTTCTTTTTTAAACATACAAATAATACGATATAAACATTTTTTTTTCACTTATTCATTAATGGTGAATTTGAATTTTATTTAGTAATAAAATGTCAATGTGAAATGGCTAAAATATAAATCATATGGCAATAATAATAAATAATATTCTAATATACTGATAATTAATTATTCTAGGAATAAATATACCGTAATATAAAAATATCAAATATCAAATTTATAAATATTACTTTCTTACAATGATTTAATTAAAATGTTTAAAAGTTGAAGTTTTTAACTTTTTTTTTTTTTTTTTTTTTTATAAAGCAAGTTAAAAGATTCGATTCGATTATCAAAGAATATATATAAATATATATCAAAGAATATATAAATTATCAAAGACTTCAAAATGAGTAAGATGATATCGGAAAGGATACGCGAGTTTTAAATAACTTCACGATTAATCGATTAATGATTAAACTATAATACGATGATAACAATATGTCGACTTTGTTCGATAGAGATATTTACATACGTTATATATAAATGTTGTACGTGCCAGAACATTGCGTGGTCATATCGATTAACCGGACAGTGGCTATCCCTATGTAAGCCTGGGTCAACTTCTTTGTGAACTATGCTACAAAAACTGTTAATCATGCTACTATATATAACTATATATAAGTACACATATATATTGTCAATTATATCTAGTTAAGATCTTAGCATTATAAAAAATACAAATTGATGGAATATTTTCGAAAAAAGATAATAATATCTATGTTAAAGGTATAAATAAAAGGATCACGTGTAATATTGATATCGTTAAAACCTCTATAGTCATTCATGCGCGTTTGTCTATTGATTTCTTTTAAAATCAAATGTGCTTGTCACAGAATAGATATAATAATATAGCATAAGACATATTCACTCACATATAGAGACATAAATTATATGAAAATTTTCATAGATACATCGAGTTGATTTTATATAAAATGGAATTGAATCATGTGTTTATATGTTTATATGTATACACATATTTATGTATTCCTACGTTCGAGAAGATTAGAAGAATAGCACCGATTAAAATCATCGCACATAAATATATAAATATCTCTTTCCTTGAGATTTTAAGAAAAATTTTTTTAAAATATTCAAAATTATTTAATAACTAGATTCATATCAAATATTTCAGTGATTTAAAAAAGAAATATTACAAATATAACACAAATATAAGAGTATAATTAATTAAATCTATATATATGTATAGAACAAATGAAATTAGGAATGTAATTACAAAAATCTACTTGTAACCAACTTACGGCAAATAACTGCAGAATGTTCGTCTCCACAAGAAATGGAAATTACTGGATCTCTGCGTATGAAAAAATGAGATGCAACATTATCTGCGAATCTACTACGTCCGATTGTAAATACTGCCCCTGTTTCTGAAAAATCATGTAAAAAATATTCATTAAATATACATTTCTATCTAATATTGATAAAATATTAACTTTACATAAAAAAATATTTATTTTTTTTACTATGATTAACAAATAAAATGATTAATTATCATTGATTAATTATTAATGGTATTGGTATTGTTTGTTGTAACAGATGTAAATTTTCGATTGTAATAGATATAGATATTTTTTTTTCGATTTCGAAGTATAATATAATATAATATAATGTAAATAAATACATCTATTATCTTCATTCTATTATCGTTTGCAATATTTACTTGACAAAATATTTATTCTTTATGTTGTTAAATCATTGATTGTAAACATTGTCAAATAACAACTTATGTCTGTGAGAAAAACGCAAAACAAAATTTGTTCTTTTCCAATTCTTTGGCGATTCGACGATCGTCAAAAATTTTGTAATTAACGAAAGATGAACATATCTTTTGCTTTTCTGGATTCAAGGAAGTATGAATGGTCATATAAGTAGTCATATATTTATTCGCGAGAAATGGTGGAACGTGTGTAACAAATAAATAGTATATACTGACATGCTAAATCTTCGATGATTTATTTAAGGAGGTTAACGCGATAACGCGATATCAAAGGACGAATCGCTACTTTCTTTTTTTTTTTTTTTTTTACGTCTGGCACGAAACGCGTAAGTAATAGCCGCGCAAAAATCGTGCGGTCAAGAACGAGAGGCAAGATAAATATCCTTTAATGCTATAAACACACGCGCGTTGATGACGTTTGAGCCTAAGTTAAATATGTTCCACAAATATAAGAGCTAAAATTGCGAATGATGCATATTCATTGAAATTTAAAAATCTAACGTAATAATTAGCCGCTTTGATCAGATAAAAGAATCGTTATCGCTTTACATAATAAATATATAATTAAAGATTTTTTATTCGGATCTAGAAAAAGATCTATGTTCGATCGATATTAATCGTCTCGAAAATCAAAAGTAGCATATACAAGAGATTAAAGAGACTTGGACATGGATGTTTATTCGAGAAGGATCGTAACATTTTTTATTCGTTTAAAAAAAGAAAGAAAAGAAAATTGCGTTTGTAAACGTTTCCAAATAAATATATTGCCAATAATTGCTTCCAAAAAATTTCGAAAAGAAAATAAATAAGATAAAACAATTAATAAAATTGAAATATTAAAAGTATCCTAAAAGTTTATACAACTTTATCATATTTTTTTGTAATTTTTATTTAATTGTAATTTAATTTCTCTATAATCTTTATATTTAAATTAATACACGTAAAATGAAAGGAATGAAAATGATAATTTTAAAAATAACAATTTTACATTCCATTCATAATCGTATATCGATCGTTAAGAGTTATAATCATAATCGCATTTTTATTTAAGGAGGTTACACGTATATATAGATACGTGATACATACGTGTATAAATTTTTAAATTTGTCCTCGTGTGTTGCGATGCGAAGAATTGGAAATTAGAAATTTCTAATTACTATGGGAAAAATAGAAAAGGACGAACGTTTAGAAAAATTTCATTTTGAAATAATGCGAGATTACGAACAAATGGCCAACAGATACGAAACGAGCGAATATTAATTCTAATTTCTGAGTTTTCCGAAGGTCATCTATCAATGATTATACCGATAAAATCAGGTATAAATCTTTGGTACAAAATTATTATTTATTCAACAGTTGTTCTTATCAAAAGTTCAAACATTATCTCTTTGCATAATACATCGCGCATTCATATTTCAAACGATAAAGCGTTACTTTTTGTTAACTTTTGTTATTATGAGAAAAAAACTTTATTATCAGAGAAAGGCTAAAAAACGGAAATTTATGCATCAAAAGAATTTTAAGAAAATGAAAAAGATTTGATATATCTACGAAGAAGAGAAGGACGATAAATACAGTATTTCTCGAGAGAAAAAAAAAATTTCATTTGGATGGTTAAAGTTGCGTTGCTCAACGCGATTTGCGAACATTGTTCGCGAAATAATATTCGACAATCAATTCATTGCATATTATTGCTGTTTAATGTCTGTACTGAGAATTGTTCGGAAACAACTATTTTCTAAGAAAAGATTACAACAAATAGAAAATCATAAAATAAAGTTTTCTTTTTCAATATAAAAAAATATTAACAATTGTATAACAATCATAACGTGAAACTTTATCATAAAACATATGGTTAAAGTTATTGTTCGCGATTATTTAAGATGGAACGTGTCCTTATTTTGAAACGCTACACGCGAAATGGTAAATTCATCGTGTCGATACCATCGATGCGCTTATTTTCTAGTCAGTGGTGGTGCATCAGGTCGTTAACCCGAAGAATGCTGAGTCAAAATATTAATCAACATCGCAATATTTAATTCGAATATCATCTTGATTGAAAATACATTTCATTTTTAATTACGCAAAACAGTAATATGAAGCAAACGTAAAAAGGAATATAAATAAGTAAATATAATATAAAACATTATCATTGTACTCAACAAGTGATAATAATATTTTTAATGATAAATAATACAAAATAATACAATAATTTAATGCATTGGATCTTTTCTCGTCATATAATAACTCTTTCACTTAAGCACAATTATTCACGTAAAATTTAATATATTTAATATTCGATCATGATAAATAAATTATTTTCTTGATACATAGAATATATATAAAATTTGTTTATTTAATTCCTCAAAAATGATAAGAAATATAATCACTTTACATGAATATTTTATATTATAATCGATATCGATATTTATAAATATAACGTAATATTTTATAAAAAAAACGTATATACATATATTAAGTAAACGAATTGCAAATATAATTCTAAATTTATTAAATTTTACGATACATCATTAATTATTGAATAATTGTATAATAGTATATATAATAGTATATATACTATAACGAAATAAAATATTCCTCAAAAAACAAAATATACATAATATCACTATCATATAAAAAAAATTAATAATATTTCACCAAAGTATTTCATAAAAATGACTTTCGTTACAAATAATATGATTCGAATTAAATTTCGTTCTTTCTTTTAAAATAAAATTTGTAAATTTCCATAAAATAAAATATAAAATCATTTTTCTTTTAATACTGCTACTACTAATAATAATTTTGTTGTTCGCAAACCACTGAAATGTTTCTTTAATAATATATTTTCGATAATCACCGGTATGCAATATGAAAAAATACATTCGAAAAAAATTAAAAAATTATTTGAAAATATCAGTGATAAATATTATGTAAGATGAGTGTCGATTGCGTGAAAGTGGAATCATACGTGCGATCATACTCTGTGCGATTTCGTTCAAATTTTTACCAGGTATTGTTTCCAAGTCTGTCAGACCCATGCTCGAACGTTCTACGGCGGAACATACGACCGACTAACTGCCGGTTAAGCATGGCTATCATGCTGGTAACTTAAACCGAACGTTGCTTGGCAACTAGAAATCAATTTCTAATGGCAACCACGCGTTGAACGTGTATGTTTCAACGAGTTATTGTAAGAATGAGAACGATCGTTTGTCGTCAATATTTTTTCGCGAAAATTAATAATAGTAAGTAAAAATAAGTAACTAATTATTTATACACGCCTATTTCGAATTCCTTCACACATCCGTTTACAACGAAATCCAAATCACTTCCAAATATCATTTAAAATTCAATAGTGAATATTTTATTTTATTTCATTTCTAAGTGATAGAAATAAATATAACAATTTACGATTTGCATTTTTTTTTTTTTTAATTATTTTTTGCATTTTCACCCAAAAATTATTTATCTTTTACTTATATATTTATGTAGTTAGGTTTTCGAAAATAAAAAAAAAGTTTAATATCGAATATAAATAAGTATCGAATAATAGTATAAACTTTCTCAAAAAAAAAATTAATTAATATAACAATAAAAGTGCAATATAGAAAGACAATTATCGAAATCAATATTTTTAATATTTATTTTAGAGCGAAATTGCAAAAAATAAAATTATGTACATATCTAAATATTAGCGCTATATGAAATTTAAAAGATATATCATTCACTGTTGAAAAGAAAACTTTAGAGACTCCACAGGAGCAAGAGGGGTCCTCCGTTAGGATCACCTATAATTTCAGATGGTTTGTTGATAAGCACACATTATTTAATAGTAGAAAAGCTATAATTTAAATATTCAAAATCCGTCAGGGTCACGTAGGGGTGGATTCCGTCAGGACCACTTAGGGGTTTTTCCGTCAGGACCACGTAGGGGTAGTTTCCGTCAGGAACACGTAGGGATGGTTTCGGTCAGGACCACGTAGGGGTGGTTTTCTTCAG